TCCCCTGGAAGTTACCAGCCTTTAATAGACTCCAGAGTTCCACAACAGTTTTATCAGCCATATTCTGCTAGTGCAATTGTTGTCTTGTTGAGGAAACAGATTCCTTGTGCTTACTACACCATCTTTCCAGAATTCTCTCCTTACCTTTTTTCCACTTACTTTTACCTTGTTGGTTATTTAAAAATAAGTCAATTTAAAATTTATAGGCTTCTATGAATGGAAATAATTGCCACAGCTATTTCTAACAGTCTGCTGCAGCATTGAAAAAAAAGGTCTAAAGGAAAGCATAGGTCTTATTTAACTGAAACTTTTTCATCTGGCCAAAGAAACATTGTAGTGCAAATGATGAGAGTAGATTTATTATATAGTACACTTTGAATCTAATCTAATTTAATTTATAAATAAATAAAATTGTCCAAAAGTTTCTATTTTGTTAAAAAAGATAAATTGCAGCAGACATATCTCAAAACTGACTATGACTGGTTGAGAAGTGCTAGTCCTGAGAGGATGAAACTAAAGAGATAAAGAGATAAGTTATTACTCAAACACAACTAACATATAATGATGGAACAGAGGATAACAGCAATAAATATACTGGTTCAAACAGGAAGAAAATCCAAGGTGGAAAGAAACCATTAATCAAAGGTGGTTTTGATATCCAGCCTACCAAATGTTGGGATTCTCTTGAGTTGGTTTCAGGGCCTGGGACTACTTCTCCATGACTTTAAACCCTCTTGGTTCTTGGTACTACCCTCTGAGTCATTCATTTTTAATGAAAGGCAGCATGTGTTTGCAGCTGATTAGTTTTATCAGTGTGTTTCCAATAGAATTTTGGGGATCCAATATTTTCCTTTATTTATTAATTTTTTTAATTGAAGTATCATTGATATGCAATCTTATATTGGTTTCCAATGTTTAACACATGGTTCAGCAACTGGTTACCTGTATTTTTAAATCCTTACCCTCTCTAGTGCAGTTAGTATCTGTCAGCATAGGAAGATGTTACAGAATCACTGGCTATATTCTCCATGCTATACTACCATCCCCATTACAAACTTATATTATTGAGATTTTTGTGCCCCTTTATTTCCCTTACCCTCCCTACCCACCTATCCCCAACCCATCCTCCATGGTAACCACCAGTCACTTCTCAGTGTCTATGAGTCTGCTGCTGTTTTGTTCATTCTGCTTTGCTTTGTATTTATATTCCACAAAGAAGTGAAATCATATGGTATTTGTCTTTCTCCACCAGGCTTTTTTTCACTGAGCATAATACCCTCTAGGTCCATCCATATTGTTGCAAATGGCAGGGTTTTCTTTTTATGGTTGAATAATATTCCATTGTATATATGTATCATCACATCTTTTTTATCCACTCATCTGTTGATGGACACTTTGGTTGCTTCCATATCTTGGCTATTGTAAGTAATGCAGCATAGGGGGATGTGTCTTTTCAGATCTGGAATTTTGTTTTCTTTGGGTAAATTCCCAGGAGTGGAATTACTGAGTCTAATGGTATTTCTATATTTAGTTTTTTGAGGAACCTCCATACTGCTTTCCACAGTGGCTGCACCAATTTGCATTTCCACCAACAGTGTAAGAGGGTCTCCATTTCTCCACATCCTCACCAACATTTGTTATTTCTTGTCTTTTGGATAGTGGCCATTTAACTGGTGTGAGGTGATGTCTCATTGTGGTTTTGATTTGCGTTTCCGTGATGATTAATGATGTGGAATATCTTTTCATGTGCCTGTTGGCCATCTATATTTGTTCTTTGAAAAAATGTCTGTTCAGGTCCTTCACTCATTTTTTCATCAGGTTATTTGTTTTATTGGTGTTGAGGCATATGAGTTCTTTATATATTTTGGGTTATCAGATGAGTCATTTATGAGTATATTCTCTCATACTGTAGGATGCCTTTTTGTTCTGCTGATGGTGTCCTTTGCTCTGCAGAAACTTTTTAATTTGATCTTAGTCCCACTTGTTCACTTTTGCTTTTGTTTCCCTTGCCCAAGGAGATTTGTCTAGGAAAAAACTGCCCATGCTTATGTTCAAGAGAGTTTTGCCTATGTGTTCTTCTAAGAGTTTTATGGTTTCTTGTCTTATGTTTCGATCTTTAATCCATTCAATATTCTCCTCTTATTTTGCACCCTTTCTTTCCCTTTCATTCTAAGTTGGCAGTGTTTCTGTTGAAACAAATTTACAGATCTGTGGATTTCACTGGGATTCACTCCATTAAGAAAAAGACACATCCATAGATCTTTTCCAAAAAGAGCCCCAAAAAACCCTTCTCTATCTCAGGCTCATACTAAGATAGTTGGGGTCAATGCTTTTTAATTCTTAGAAGCCTTCTGGTTTAATTGAAAAGATCTTTGAGACATACCCTTAGTAATCTGAGAGGGACCTTTGTGTGGCTGAATAATCTGATCTTTTGATCTTTCTGACATTTTAGCAAAAGGTTATATATTCACACTCAACCTTTTCTTTTGAACCTACTTTCCTAATAATAAATCTCTTCATTTTAGTGTCTTTTGACATCCATAGAGTCAGAATTTAAAAAATCAACTCCTGTTGCCTTTTTATCTAACAGTTCTTACCTCAATTACAGTTACTCAAATGTTCTTACAATCGCTCATCCTCCCTTTTTCCCTCTCCATCCTTCTCTCTCTCTCTCTCTTTCTGTGTCTCCCTTTCATTCTCTTTCTCTCTCTGATTTTACTCTAAGCAGCAAGATGAAACCATGTGGTGCTTTGAAACATTGCTTGGAAACAAACTGTATATCCAGGCTGGTTGCTTATAAGTGCTGCTTCCCATAACTGCAGGATATGGTTTTGCCAAACTTTTTGCCAGTAGAACAAGGATCTCCCTTCTTCCAGTTTCCAGTAATATGTTTCTCATTTCCTTCTAAACCCTCAAAACAGCTGTATCCTTAAAGACTGTATTTCTACCAACAATCTCTACATGGCATTTTAGGCTTTCTCTGTCATGTTACATAAATTCTTCCAGTCTCCTCCCACTATCCATTTCCAAAGCCACTCCCACATCTTAATTATTTGTTTACAGTAGCACCCTACTTCTAGGTACCAAATTCTACTAGTTTTAAATTGTGTAAGAAATCACCACTAATCTAGTGCCATAAAACAACAAACATTTGCTTTCTCACAGTTTCCATGGGTTGGATGTCCATGCAAAACTTAAGTGGTCCTCTGCTCTTGGTCTCACAATGCTGAAATCAAGGTAGCAGCTGGGCTGCATTTTCATGTGGGACTTAAGGGAAGACTCTCTTTTCAAGATCATTCAGGTTGTTGGCAGAATTCATTTCCTTGCAGCTGCATGATTAAGGACCCAGTTTCTCAATGGCTGTGAGTTCAACACCTCAGGTGCACATTCATCCCCTGCCATGTATTTCTCTGACAGGCCCTTTCTGAACATAGCAGCTTACTTCTTCAAAGCCAGCAGCAGAGTCCTCACTCCAGTGTAAGACTGAGTCTTATATAATGTAACATAATCAAGGGAGTGATATCCTGTCACCTTTACCATATTTTATTGATCAGAAGCAAGTCACAGGTTCTGTTTGCATCCAAGGAGTACAAGAGTGTGACTCACTGGGAGTCACTGTAGGGTATGTATCCCAAAGGTGGTGTAGTAGGCTGAATAATGTCCCCTGGAAATATCAGGTTATAATCCTTGGAAACAATAAATGTTACCTTATCTGGGGGAAGAAGGGGAGACTTTGCAATCATATTAAGATAGATATATTGAGATAAGGGGATTTTCCCGGATTATCTCAGTGGGCACTAAATACAATCACATGTATCCTTATAAGAAGGAGGCAGAGGGAGCTTAGACACAGACAGAGAGGAAAAGGCCATGTGAAGATGAAGAAGTGAGAAATTTGAAGATGCTATCCTTGATCAAAGAATGAGGTGATGTGGCCACAGCCAAGGCATGCTGCCAGCCAGCAGAAACTGAGAACATATTCTCCCCTAGAGTCTCTGTAGGGATTCCGGCCCAGTTTACATCTTAATTTCTGATACTGATTTCACTCTTCTGGTCTCCAGAACTGTTAGAGGATAAGTTTCTGTTGTTTTAAACCACTCAGCTTGTGATAATTGTTATAGCAGCCAAAGGAAACTAATACTGATAGTTACTGATACCTCAATGTTACTTTCTTTATGGATTTCACTGGTTACTCAATGAGGTTGAGTGTCTTTCCTAAGATTATTGACTGTCCAGGAGTTTTCTTCTATGAATTTTTCAACTCATATCTTTTGTCTCTCTTTTTAACATTTACTTATTGATTAGTAGGAATTCTTTACGTAGTCTGCTAATCCTCTATTAGTTAACCAAATTACTGAAGAGATATTAATCTGTTCCAGTCTATAGCTGGCCTTTGTACCTTTTTATGGTATTTTTTGCATTCAGAAGATTTTTTTTCATCTTTCTGGAAAATTTAAAACATACCCCAAAGAAGAGAGGATAGTATAAAAAAAATCTTCCCTGTATCCCTCACTCAGCTTCAACAATTACCAATATCTTTTTCCCAGTATTCATCTTTTCTGTTAAGTTTTGTACTTTTTGTGCATTATCTATGAAATCCTTAGATTGTGTTGCTCTTATTTTATGGCTGAGTATTTCTGTCATGATAGAACACTCATCCTTTTTGTCATAACACTGTTCTTTATCACCTTTACTTTTATATAAATGCTCTCTTATGTGTAGCAATTTCTAATATATACAAAGCATTATCCCATCCATGTTTATCTATACCTTCTTCCTGAACAACATGTACTTTTCTTATTCATCACAAGCTATTGATTGAGATCTTGGGAACTTGCCAGTTGTCCCAGTAACATGATACATGTCACCGTAGAGCTTGTTGAAAATACCATGTGTCCTGAATCATTCAAGAGATGTCAAAATACAGGCCTGAATCAGCTGTGCTGCCATTTCTGTTTTTACAAAGTAATTCCTCTCAATTTTTTTTTCCTTATTTCTAGTGTGCCACCTGGACTTGAAGGCATGAAAGAACAAGACCTCTGCAACAAGATAATGGCTAAAATACTAGAAAATTATAATACCCTATTTGAAGTAGATTATAAAGAAAATGATAATCAAGGGTGTGAAAGCCTGGTGAGGATTATCATAGTAAAAGTAAGTAATGTTGGTATTTAATTTTTATTATCACTGTATTTTGAATGGAATATATTTAAATCATTTTTGTCATAAAAATTCCATATGCAAAGCTTCAGATATAATCATCTAAACAGAAATAATAGCCTATGTTTGTTGAATTCTTTTTATGAAATATATTTTCTATATCAAACGCTTGTTAAACTGATACATATTCTTCTAAGTTGGAGAATAATTGAGAGCAGATGTTTCATTACCACTATAAAATCACCTCAAAATGAGTCCAATGCCATTGTCACCACCTTTTTATGGAAGCCCTGGTATTACAGCAGGGATACGTGCCTATGGCTGTGCTCATGAGTCCTAGCTTGCTGAGTAGATTGCAAATTCCTGAAGACAGTATGACTACATCTTTTGTCTCTATTGTGTCTGGCACACTTTCAGGTTCAACCTCAGATTTTAAGTCCCATGTATGTAATCCTTCTTAACTATCATCAGTAAATGAGAGTATTTTTAAAACCTATAAAAGAGTCCTTTACAATACTATCAAAATTTTTTTGTACATTGGCTGATAACTTAGAGCATATCCTTTACACATCAGGTAAATGCATGTAGGTCTCTTAAAACACAAGATAAACATTCAAATCAAATCCTCTGATGTAGGAAAAGAGGGAAGAGAAGGCATCTTATTTTCTTCTCATTTATATTGAGATAAACCATGATGGAACTGATATGGGAGGTTCCCTTAGTTTTCCTGAGACTTACCAAATTTACAGACTGCATTATACTTTGTTGATTCATATGACAATGAATGATAAAACCAGAGGCTTTTGCTTTGGTTATTGTAGGGATATTTTAATCTCTTCTTTCAGTTGAGGCCATGACTTTCAAGAAGAAATAAAAGGTAATGGCTATCAAGTGGCACCCTACCAAAACAAAATAAGACCAAAGCTAAGTTTTCTCACCCAAGGCTTATCCTGTTAATACAGACTCCCTATAAGGGATAGAGTACATCTGAGAAGAATGCATTTATCTGCAATCTTGCCAACCTGATAAAGTGAACTTCAAACTGAAATTGGAGGGAAGGGAATAACAATGCTCATATAAATGATAAAATGAAATATTTGGGAGAATATCAAGTGTAACCTAACATGGAAGTAACATACCAGCTGAGAAGATGTGTCAATGATTTACAAGAGAAAATAGTGGGGAAAAAATTTATATCAGTTTTGCTACAAAAAAATTAATTTTTTAAAAAGGAAAAAAAATCTACCTTAAATTTGTTCCTCTGGTTCCTGTAGCACTTTGCAAAAAATATCTCTTTTTAAAATATTAAAAAGTGATTGGTTTCTTTCAGCTGTATCTCTGATACACCTTTTTACACTCATACATTTTACTAGGGCTGGTAAGATAATGAGGTAAACCTAAAATATAATGAAAATAGATAAATAGGATCTCCTAGGCAAGACACACCTTCTGAGATACAATCACAGAAATATGCCAATAGGGGGTTATATGTTATGCAAGTAAAATAACACATATTAAAATATGCAGAAGAGTGCCTTGCTTGGAAATCATTGAGTTACTAGGTTAAAGCATGGTGGACAACCTAGTATGAAAGTACATGGTATAAGACACATAAACTGATGATACTGTAGAAGCCAAATATAGATATCTTAGGTGGATAAAGAACACTCTTAGGTAGATGAAGAAGATAGAGAATATGACTAATGCAAGTCACAGATCTGGTCTAGAGGCAGATCACTGTCATGGTTGGAAACTATATGTCTAATCTGGAAGCAGAATTTTTGGTACATTTTTAAATTGATGATAGTTTCATCTCTGAGATGGTAGATTATACAACATGGTAATGTGGTTTTCTAGACTTAATTATAATCAATAAAGATGAAGTGGAAGTTACAGAAATTATTTTAATGGAACATGCCAATGCCATTTTAGCATCCATAATAATGAAGAACATGTTAGCTAGCCACAGTTAGATATGTAAACCAGGATGTTTTTTAAAAAGCAGGGGTTTTTTTAAATTCCAAAAATCATGGAAAGATTAGATAGAAACCTAAAGGAATATGGTTTAAAAAAGGAACTGGGAAGCTGACAATGAAATTATTAACAAACTGAAAAAATGGGAAAAATGGGAGGGAACTGAAAATCAATCACTGTGATCATTATCTTGAGCTCAGTTTTTGGAAGGATGTATCTAAAAAGAGGAAGTAGGCACAAAACAGGAAATAAATACACAAGAGTGACAGACATAAAATGAATTGAGAATAAGGTTAAGCTCATGAAAACTACTAAGATAGAAAAGGGCTTTTATTACTTTTTAAAATCATTAAACATATCCACTGACACACCTCCGTGTACCCCCAAGTGTGAGGAATAGGGTCATAAGATGTCAAATGATGTTTCTTATGATACCCTTGTTGACTAAATGGAGATTCAGGGCCCAAATATGAGTTTGGTTGTATTTAGACCTGGAAGAAGAACTTTGACCATTTTGTTTGGATGTGGATTAACTCAGGGGCGGTTTCTGCATTTATTTGTGTCATTTCAGTACTTTAATCATTGACATGAATGATCACGCACTTAGCACGTTTGTGTGTGAAATAAAGCTGGGAGGATAAGCCAGATATTGGATGGCTTAATATGTAGACCAACAAAATAGTATGTGTGTATGTGTGTGTGTATACAGCCATTTTCCTCTTCTTCCTTGCTTAAAAAAATAAGAACAAAAGCCAATTTTATTTGGGCCTGCAGCAATGCTGTGTGGTCAGATGGGCCCCTCCCTCAGCCCCAAGGGGTGGATGAGTCATAAAAAATCTATAATACTACCATCTTTAGCCAGTGATGACATTACAGTTTAACTATGACACACATGTGGCCAAGGAGACGGAAGGGAAAAGTGTTATGGGGCAGAGGGACTCTGGGAAAGGTTTCATCCTTGATTGGAATTATTTAAATGTGGGGGGGTAGTTGTGGTTGCTGGGTGGAGCTGGATTGGTGGTGGGGATGGTGGTGGTGGGGATTGGCTTGGGCCCCACCTGGATATCCTCTGGGGTGATAAAATGTTCTGTATCTCAATAGGGTTGTGGGTTATTCAGGTGTGTGAATTTGTCAATGCTCATTCAACTGAATCCCTAAGATTTGTCCATTTTATTGAATGTGAATTTAAAAAAATTTTTTAATTGAAAAGAGAGAGAAAGATAGCAGGACTTTGGGTCAAGATGCCCATCTCTCCCGTTTTGCTTTCAAACATTTTCATGTCAAAGTATAGAGTTTAGAGCTGCTGCCACCAGTTTTCCTCTTGATAAACGTAATGTTGACACCCTGAGATTGGCAGCTAAAGGAGGAAAGAGGCTAGGCTGCTCGTCGCTGATGTGCTGAACCAACACTGAACACATATACCTCTGGATTTTAGTTACATGAGGAAAATAAATGTCCTCATAGTATAAACTACTCTGAGTGGAGTATTCTGTTTCTTGCACCAAAAGCATCCTATCTTGTACAATCAACATAATTGGAAAGTCCTATACTTAGATTTGTGTAATGATTTTCACAAGTAACCAAGAGGAGGCCAAAATTAATAATAGCTAAATTGAAAATCGTTCATGGATTTTAATTTCTAGCACAGTATCATACATCAGTGTGGTGTGATTGCAAAAAAAACAAACAAAAAAAACCCCACAGACTCATTCACTGAGTACATCAATAGTATCCACAATAATGTATGTCTCACTGCACTTGGCAGTATCTAGTGTTATATCTGATTCTGACTACCACATTCTGACTCTCCTGACAATCACAACTGCTCCTCATTTATTCTCACTAAATATACATTTGCCTGAGTGACTGTTTTCTTACTTCAGTTACCATACCGCTGACGACTTCCAAACCAGAACTCTAGCCTCAGCCTGTCAGAAGAGCAGTGAGACAAATTTCCACTAACTATGAAAAGCCATGCTGGTGCCTTAAATTTCTCACACCCAAAACATCATCTCCAAAAACTTTGTCTTGGTTCTGTCCTCTCCAATGCTAGTTTGCCAGCTCCCAGCCTGCCAAGCCAGAATCCTTAGTTTATCCTTAATTCTTCCCCCTTTGCTATTCCTACTGGGGCTCATATTCTGTCTTAGGCATATCTCGTGAAATGGGTGTCTCTTATCTACCCACTACCACTGCTTTTACATTAGGACTTTATCATAGCCACACAATTTCAAACTGTTTTTCACTTCTAGGCTCACCCCCTTCCCATCTCCTTCTAGCAGTGATAGAATTATTTTCTTAAAAAAGCAAACCTGATTATGGCATACTCCTACCTTAAGTAAACAAACCTTTTGCTGTTGTTGTTTTGCCCTCCACCCTTTTGCTGATAATATACAAGTCAGTTGCCTTTATTTGGAATTCAGGTGCTTTACACTGTGTCCCCAAACCAAAGTTTCTCCGTTAAATATTTGAGTGACTGTTGAATGGTTCTTGTTATCTTCCCATTTCTCTTGCTGTCTTCAGTCTCCTTTGAGAACTCTTCCTTCTTAGTCAAAATTAAACTTTGTTCTTTCCTGGCTCATTCTTGGTCTTCAGTTCAGAGCTCTACCTGGCAAACCATACAAATCTATCCACCTGCCTAACAGTCGCGTGTGCCTGCATGTCCCTCGGATTGTCTCATCATCTTCTCTTGCCTTTGAGGGTCTAATCCTCCACTTCTCTTCTGGGACTTAATGAATGGCCCATCCATCCACGCAGTTGCTCCAGGTTGATATCCATCAACCATGAAAGCCTGTTAATCTACCGCCTAGATAAATCTCTCCCATACTTGCTAACTGCTTCCTCATCACTTCCCATCCAAGCAAGAGGATTCTGTGCCTTTTATCACAATCACTTGCTGATGCAGACTGAGTCAGAAACTCATCATAGGGCCCTGAAATTTTAAAAGACTTTTTGGCAATTTTAATAATCAGATTGGTCCTTGGGAGCTTAGTACAATAGCCTTATTTCCCTGGCTGTAATCT